GCAGCAGCAGCAGCAGCAGCAGCAGCAGAATGATGCGGCTCCCATTGTCCCGCGCCGCTCCTTTTGGTGCCCTTACTTGAGCCTGCCCTCGATACGATATCGCGCCTGCTCTTCAAAGCTGTTGAGGTGTGAGCCCATTTTGGTGGCGACCCGGCGTGACGTTTTTGCCGGAATTGACCGATCGGAAAGTTTTGGCTGCTTTACCGTGGAATTGACTGCCAAGCTTGGCGAGGACGGGATGGAGAAAGAGGAGGATTCTCGGCGAAATTGCAGTCGCAGCAGAGCGGCTGGTTTTGAAATTCAGGCTCAGCGCGCGCTCGGCTGTAGCGTCGGACCATTGTCCGCCTAGCCGCGTCTGCTTTGCAATCGAGCCAAGGCGATTGTGCCAAAGCATCGAGCGAGCCAGACGAGGCTGTGGGGTATCGTAAGTGTTGTGGGAGACGCGGGGTTGTGCGCTTGCCAAGGCGTGCTCACGTCGACACGGTCCGGTGAGGCAGGCGTTGGGGCGGCAACCTAGGCGCGGCATCCTAAGCGTGGCTCCGTTTCGGGGCTTTGCGGTGGCATCTCTGGCCGAACTCGGACGCTTTGCGGCGATCCTCGTTGGGCAAGCGCCCATTGGCTCTCACGCCTAGCTCCGTGTCCCTCCGTGTCATTTGGCCTTGACACCCGCTTCGCCCTTTTCTCACGCCGACAGACAGACAAATTTTTTTGACACGTCAGGCTTTCAAGTCTCGCACGAGAGAGTTCTAGACCGCAGTGCGTGCATTTCGGTCAAGAGCGTGAGGGGAAGGGGCAGAGCGAGAAGGGGCTGACGAATAGACAGCCGATCGAAGCGGCGGGGGAGCATATCGCGCACTTGTCACTTAGGGCCGGACAAGTCGACCCCACAATCTGTGTCCCGGAACCACGGACCACGGGACGCCATCAGGGTTCCTAGCCGCCTGTGCGGGGGGCGTCGCATGCGACCCCACGTCAAGCTGTCCAGCGGCCAAGCGGCGAATGTGGGGAAGAGGACAAGAACGGCCAGATAGCGGCGGCCCATCAGCAGCTTCGGCGGTTGCACGCGATGCTCGTCCGCCGACCGGTATCCAAACGGCCAGCTAATGAGATGCCAAATGATGTTACGTTGGCAGCGCGACACAACCTAAAAAAAGCTGTGATCAGGTGTGTGTCCATGCAGACCTGACACGCTGCCATAAACGATCGGGGTCAGTCATCGTGCGATTATTTGGCCTCCTCGCTCTTCCCCTGTGGCTGGCAAGATGGCTGCGAGGCGGGGAGCCTGGGCCACAGCGACCGCCTGCGCCTTAAATTTGGAATCCCGCCTCCTACGCCGCCTCTCCCCCTGCGCCTGACGAATGGCTGCAGCGGGGAGCGCGCGGGCAAATGTGCCAATCTCACAGTCAGCTGTTGGGCTCACCGCATCGACAGGGTTGTGGGATCCGCGCTCGGTCCTCAGTCTCAAAGTCTCAAGGCAACTCAAGGCAACGGAGCCAGCCAGTTCCGGCCTGTCATCAGGCTCTCCGCACCGCCGCCGCATTCATCTCCCTTACTCCACCAACTTCACCTTCATCCCCACCTTCCGCACCAACATTTCTGCACCATCTGCGTGCCTGCTTGCGATCCTCCACCTTGGCACGAAGCACATGAACTCCTCCTAGAAACCACCAACGCGAGTGCTGCCCAACAAGCCGTCGTCTCCGGGCTCTCGGCCGCACACCGCCACGCTGTCGTCGCCGCGCTCAATACCCTCTTCATCCCGGCCCCGGCATCTCGAAGCATCGCCACGCGCTCAGCGCAGCCTCTCGCCCTCCAGCGTCGCAGCATCTCCCACCAACAGGAGGCCTTCCTACGGAAGCAACCTCCTCGCCGTCCCGGGCCGCGCGCCCGGCGACGTCGATGCCGACTTCGGCCTCGGCCTCTCGCCCACGGCTGCATCTCCCGACACCGCCTCGCGTCATCGCCGTGGATCGCGCTCTTCCATTCTAGCTTCCGCAACAGAGGCAACAGGTGCAACAGGTGCAACCTCCGATCGCGAGTCCATCCGCTCCTCCGCCAGCAGCTCTCGCGCAGCCCCTTCCTCCACCAGGCGCACGTCCAAATCCAACCGTCCGGACGACAGAGATCGTAACGCCTCTCCCGTCTCCTTTTACTCAACCCTGGAGGCTCCTTTTGCCTCGCCACGCACCTCGCGTCAGGGCAGCCTCCAAGTCGAGAACACTTTGGCGCCTTTCACAACCACATCTCCCCCAACAGCACATGCACAAGCTCAGCCGCATCGCTCGCCTCGCACCTCGATCGCAAATGCATCCAACCCTTCTCACAGAACTGCGCCTACGCCTCTAGCAGCTTCCAGCTCCACTCGAGCCGCTTCGGATCGAATCACAGCAGACAAGCGACCCGTCCCTTCAACTACAACTCTCCAGCGCGCCACCTCCGCTCAGCATGACAGACCCCCCAACGGTGCTGTTCCCAACGCTCTGACGCCTTCGCTCTCTGCGTACTCTTGGCAGTCTGACAAGCCCGACACACCTGCCAAGCACCATGCTTATCCGCAAGCGCAGTCTCTACAGCAGCCGCGTTCAGCAGCAAACGAGTACACCGCACCCAAATCCATCTCCACTTCCAGGTCTGCCAGCACTTTTGCACAGCTTGAATCTTCGTCAGCTCGACCAAGGTCCAAAAGCAGCGCTAGCTCTTCCAAGGATGTCGGCGCTCGATCCCAAGCTGCCAAAGCCGCCGCAGCCCCGTCTGTGCCTCTCCCTACCACCCTTACTGCGACGACCACCTCAAATGCTCCTTCCAAGTTGAGCTTGCGATCCCGCATCTTCGGCCTCAAATCGTCTCAAAACGCTCCTCGCTCATCATCGCCCGCAGACTCGGGCACAGACACCCCATCGCCCAGATCAGCCCATTTCCCACCATCCGTACACTCCGAGGGCTCCCACAGCGACTCGGCCCCCCTCGACCGCGCCGACAGCCTGTCGATCGATCGCGACTTTCCATCCCCCAGCTACTCCCACTCCGCCCTCGGCCACAGTCGCGACGCCGATGACGAAATGGGCGATGCCTTCAGTGCCGATCCACGCTCCACTGCCCAAGCTGGTCGCAAGTCGAGCGGCGCCACCAGCTTCCTTCGCAAGACCATTCGCTTTAAGGACAAATCAGCCTTCCTCAAGCCGCGTCCCTCCATCTCCTCTCTCAACTCTGACTCGGCCGCCTCCGCTTCCCAGTCCGTTCCTCCCTCGCCCGCGGACCCGCCCAGCAGTTCAGATGCCGAGGACGCCGCAAGGAAAGCGCCGTCCTACAAGCAGGTCAGCGGCCGTAGGGGCGCGCAGTATCACAAGCCCGCGCCGGACCTCAACTCTCCGGCTAATTTGCCTCACTCCGCACAGCATCAGCCGTCTAGTCTCGATGCCAAACACCAACATCGTCCCGCCGCACTCTTACCTGCCGTCACCGAACGCGATCTGCAGCTACCGCCAGAAGCTCAGCGTCAGCCCTACTTCAATGCGCAAAGGCGCCTACCTTTACGATCGGAAAGCAGCTCTGCGTTGATGCACGACCGATCTAGCGGCTCGAACGCGCAGTCAATCGTACCGTCCCCCACCGCCATCGTCGCCAGTTCGCCCGTCACCACCGACGATCGAGTGGCAGCACAAAACCGCATTCCGAGGAGTAGCAGCCTGCACGCTCCAACGGGTCGGGATCATCCAGATGATCTTCTTCCATATCGCATCGCCGCAGATCGATCCGTGTCATCGTCTCTGGCCACACAGGAGACGCCTGCATCGCCAAGCCGTCGGCCTCGCTCAGGGTCGGCCAATACCTTTGCACCGCAGATTCAGCCTAGAACCACAAGTTCCCCTGCACAGAGCCAGACGCGCCGGCCTGTCACAGCGCAAGGCACACCAGAAGTTTCTCAGTCGCCTCAGATGTCGGCACACTCCCCAGCGCGATCATCGCAGCGCACAACCCGGCCCAAGACAGCCGACAGCGGTCATGGATACTCCAACTCGCTCTCCAGCCTCCGCGACATTCTTGTGGTAGCCAACGCTATCTCCGAAGAAGGCGCCTACTACAATTCGCCAGACAAGAGCGCTCCGAGCCCGAGTGCAAAGGCTGCTGCCGGTGCTTCCCCCGTCGACTCAAAGAGGCCTGGGCTGCCGCCCAAGAATCCGCTCCGCAAGCAGAGACCGTCGGCAGCCAGCGCGGCAGATACTCCCTCGGTCTCGGGCGATTCACCCGCCTCGGCGCACACATCCGGTGTCTTCCCGGGTCCCGCCATGCTGACAACCCAGACATCCCTTAGCCCTACAGGCGTGCGCCCTCGCGACTCTATCGGACCACTCTCGGCAACTAGCTCCTCTCCGACAGACTTCAGAACACCGACTTCGGAACCCACTCCGCTTCCTAGCCTGGACAGGCACAGCGCAAATGACTACTTCCGGCCCCGCGATGCGTCTCGCCCGCCCGACGCACCGCTCATGCAGATTCCTGCTCGCTCACCGAGTGCAGTATCGCCTGGCATCAGTGGCACATCATCGCCGGCGTACTCTACCTTGCCCGCATCCCAACAGCTCTCCCGCGCTCCGTCCACCGACTCTGCCCTCGGCTACGTCTCTCGCCGGCACGAGCGCGCTGCCAGTGATGCAGCTAGCTCCATCACCGATCTGCGAACGAGGTCCGGACCCGGGGCTTCGACACCGTCATTGCATTCCGAATCCTCCTCGAGCGTCCGGAAAAAGAAAGACGGTCCCGGAAGCAAGATGTTTGCATTTGCGCGTGACCTCGCTCAGCGAGAAGGTAGCGAGACAAACGCAACTCTGTCAAGCTCCGGTACATTCCGTCTGGGCAGGAGCAGCAAGTCCAAGAAGGGCGATGTCAGCAATCGCCCCGTCATCCGTCGCTTGTACGATGGACCGTTGGAAGCTGAAGCAGCTGCGCATGCTTCAAGGCAGGCCTCGGGATCCTCCGTAACTTCACCGGTCGCCTACGCCGAAGGTGTCAGCCCCGGGTCTTCCGTCGCAGATCTTGCAAACGGTGGCGCGCATGAGCCTCATACGCCAGGAGGCTTCAGCACTCCTGGATACGCTACCCGTCTACCCAGCTCAGGCAGCCTCGTCCGCTCGGCATCGTCATCCGGTAGCACGGCAAGAGACTATATGCTGCAGGGCTCGAACCAGCTGCTGACGCCGCAGTTCATGAACGCCAATGGGACGGCTCTTCTAGCTCGAAGCCCGAGCTTCGTCAAGCCGAGCTGGTCAATTCCACAGGACGGATTGTCCCCGACGCAGAAGCGACTGTCCAAGCGTTGGTTCATCCTGCGCGAGCTTCTGGACACTGAGAAGGCCTATGCATCGGACCTCGCCGTGGCTCGCGACATCTACCTGGCCCGTGCGAAGCTCGGGGCAGGCATTACGACACCGCTCTCCCCTCTTAGCGTTCGATCGGCGAGCGTCTTTTCGCAACTGGCTTCTCCTGAGCCTCCCTCCCACGGCAAGTCCTCGCAGCCCCACCTCCACCATCGAGGTAGCGTCAACCCGCTCAGTCCTGGAGCACCTGGTCCTGCCGCACGTGGTCCACTACCTCAACGCACTCTCTTCCGCCACGCCTCCGCGGATGCATCTGCAACCGCTGCACTGGCCAGTCCTCACTCGGTCAACCAAGCCCCGTCATCGACGTCTCTCGCATCCAGCAATCCGAGCAATCGCTCTTCGGTGTACACGGTGTCGTCTCAGAGCTCGCAGACTTCGGATGCAAGTCATTTCGCTCTCGCCGGACATTCAAATCTCGGAGCAGGCCTTCCGTCGCAGTTCTCGATCGACGGCGGCGCACCTTCGCCGAGCATTGGTCTCAAGCTAAGCCAAGGATCGCCTCTGGCGACCCCGAGTCCCGGCTTCTCGCCAGCACCCTCTACGCCGGCCACTCCGTCAATTATGACGCCTTCTAGCTTTCCAGGCCTGGGGGATCAACCTCAGTCCAACTCGTCGGACGCGCCGTTCAGTCCGAGCGACGTCCGCATCATCTTTGCCCAGTTGGAAGCATGCGCGGCTTTCGCCGACGAGATGGTAGCTGTTCTTGAAAGCGCAGTCGGCACAATCTGCACTGGGCCGGCAGAAGACGCGGCTCAGCTGCTCGCACGTGGCGATGTCACAGAGGATTCGGAAACGGACCGAGTAGGACAAGCCTTCCTCAAGATCATGCCACGGATCGAGCAGGTGTATTCCGCATATTGCTCGCGACACGAGGCGTCCATGGCGAGGTTGCAGGAGCTCTTGACCACTCGGCCGAAGACGGTCGCTTTCGTGAGCGAATGCACGCAGGCTGCCCGGGCCTACACGAATGCGTGGGATCTGTCTTCGCTGCTCATCAAGCCCGTTCAACGCGTGCTCAAGTATCCGCTTCTTCTCGCGCAGATTTTGGAATCCACGGGCAACCAGCATCCGGATGCCGAGAATCTCGCAGCGGCCTCCGCCGAGATCCAAAAGGTGGCAGACAACATCAACGAAGTCAAGAAGCGCAAGGATCTTGTGGAGCAAATCGTCAGTGGCAAGACGGCCAGACGCACCACCAGCCAGCGCATGCAGCACGGCGCCACCAAGAAGCTCTTGCGTCGCCAGGAGAAAGTCAAGAAGGCTGTCCTAGGCCCGACTGAGGATCTTCTCGCCGACGATGGACAGTACAAGTCGTTGGTGGTGCAGTTCCGCACGCTGGAAAAGTCGGTAGCAAGCTTTGCCCGACGATGCTCCGGCTGGTCGACGAGCGTCAAGGAGGCTCACCTCGCGCAGTTGCGGCTGCTCGATCAATGGTGCAGGACATACGCCGTTGACGAAACTCTTGCCGGCAGCGAAGCAGAGATGCGTCTGCGTGCGCTCATGCACCTGATCGAGCAAAGCTTCCTGAGCGACTATTGGACCCAACTCGATTCCGAGATCCGCACGAGCTTGACGCCAGCCGTGCAGCGGATGGCCGCGCTCTTCATTCTGCCGCAGGCCGTGATTGCGAAGCGCAACGACAGAGAAGCGGATTACTCGAGATATCGGGCCGAGATCACCCGCAGTGGCTCCAAGGCGGTGGACAAGAAGTTGACGGAAAGCGCAAACGCCTTTGTGGCCCTGCATACCCAGCTCATGAACGAGCTGCCGCAGTTCAACTACGGCATTCAGACGCTGATGGACATTTGCATCGAGTCGCTGTCGCGGACGCAAGCCTCGTACCATCTGCGCGTGCATCGTGCGCTGATCAGCTTCTGGCAGAGCTTCGGGCCCGAAGGCGCGGGCGACATCGTCCACAACGAAGACACGGACGAAAAGTCCATGCGACACCTGAACCCTGTCAAGATCTTCTGGCCGCTGCACAGCAACATCGCTGGCTTTGCCGAATCGCTCAGCATCGTGTCGGGCGTGTATGACCGCTCGCGCTCAGCCTCGGTGAGCATGGACAGCGAGTTGCTGGCCGTTGGGCATCTTAGCCCGTCGAGCAACACGCATTTTTCGCCACTGCAGTCGGAGCGTGCTCTGCCGGACCCGGAGTTCTCATCCAAGGTTCCTGATGCATCGAGCATGAGCCAGCAGATCGAGTCGATCACCGCGGCTGGTTCCGAGGAGCTCTTGGAGCCGATGAGCGCGCGTGCCAGTCCGTTTGCCACTCCGCCGCTGGGATCGCGTGGGCCGTCGTTCTCGCCTCAGCTTCACCAGCAGGCATTGCTCGGCTCGCCGGCGCCCATCGGCTCAGCCTCGCTGCACGGGGCCCAGAGCGGCAGTGGCGCGCCGCCGCTGCGGACGACCAAGTCCGGTGGACTGATCGGACTGCTGCGCTCGGTTGGAAGCAGCTCGGCGATGGGAGGCACGATTGGCTCGCGCAAGAACTCTCAGTCCACCGACACGATGGCCGAGAGCTTTGGCGAGGGGTCTGAGTCGAACCCTCCCACGCCGATCAGCAAAGACACGCCTGTGCTCAACAAGCACGAGCACGACGACGCCGCGGAAGACGTGGCGCCACCTACGTTGCCCGCGCTCAGCTTCAATTCGGGCTTCTTTGCTCAGTCTGAGGTGTTCTCGACGCACCCACATGGGCCTGATTCTCCGCGTGTCGATCCGAGCGCCGACCAGGCGGTGGATCGCAACCCTGCGCTGCCAGCGACAAGCAGGGTAGAGAACGCGACTAGCAGCAGCACTGCGACGCCCACGGGCACGATGGCGGCAGTGGCCAACAGCCCGGCGGGCACGCGCGCGTCGAAAGCAGGCCACCCGCTGCTCGAGTACGTGGTGGGCGACCTGTTCCGCGTTGTGGACGGCGATGCGTCGCACCTCTTCGGCTCCTCAGAGCACGGCGCGACCGGCTGGGTGGAGCGCGAAAACTTTGTGCCCCTCTCATGATCCTGCTCTTTCTGACGGACCATATCATTGGCCACAAACCAAAGCATCGCAAACGAAACACGAGTGGCCTCGAACAGAGTGACGGTGTTGCACCTTGAAGTCGAAGCTGAGACGGGGTCATGGCTTCTCGAGAGCGTCTTTGACGAGTTCGAATGTGGTGAACGTGGCTGCGGCTGCGGGGATTGCTCGGAGGAGCGTGGGGGAGAGACCGACCGTGAATGCGCGCACGCCTTCTGCAGCGTAGATGTCCTTGGCGCTTTGGGAGATGTACCTGAACACCAGTGGACCGCCGAGACCTTTCTGCAGCGGGGCATTGGATAGCTGGATGCGCGACTTGAGGACGTCGAGGGGATAGCAAGCGAGCCAGTTGCAAATGCCGCCGCACGAACCCGAGACCATCAAAGCCCAGACTGGCAGAGTTGTACCATTTGCCGTTGTTGACGAGGGGAGGTTCTTGCGGAGGGAGGCTTTTGCCAGTTCGAAGCCGGTGTAGAACCCTGCGTAGGCGGGCATTTCGCGCATCACCGTGACCCAGAATCCACGCATGACACCCGACCGCATGCCGTACTTCGTATAAACCTCCCGTGCCACCTGCGACAGCTTCTGCGGCGCACTCTTTGATGAGCTGATTTGGGCCTGCATTCGAATCTTGAACAGCTCCACCGGGGCCGAAAGGATGGAGTTGATCCCTCCCGCAACCGCACCTGCTCCAGCAATTTGAGCAGTCGACAGGTTTTGCGTATGGGGGGAGATCCACCGCTTGGCAGACTGAAACGCCGTAAACAGCAACGCATTCTGTGCTGCGATACCAAGCAGCGGTGAAGCCATACCTTTGTAGAGCGCCAGTAGGCCTTCGTTGCGGACGGTCTGCAGCAGTACATCCATCGGCCCTCGGTACACGCCCGGTGCAGCGATTTGCGATCGCACTTTAACCGTGTCCAGAGGCTGACCCACTATGACCTGTGCTGCTCCAGCCAGCGAGCCGGCTACCAGATCTACGGTCGGGAGCACAAATTCGGGCCATGGCTCGTCTGTCGTTCCACCCGTCATGTCTGCGTCGTGAAGAGGTGTTGGTAGTAGTTTGGAAGAAGTCAAGAACCCCATAACATCGCGGCTATGTACCGATTCTAAAATGCTCCACCTGCTCAAGCACGTCACTCATCCACGACATTCCAATTTCACGCATCAATTCCAGGCATCAATTCCACCCTCACCCCAGTCCACGTCCGTTTCCCGAATCATCACCCGCAAACACTCAAGACTCGGCGGTTTTCAGTGGCAAGGATACAAAGGCGAGTCTAGATTGTCCGCAAGATGAAATACAATGGAATCCATGAGGGTCGCTCGATGCGCAATGATCATGGAGAGAGATGGAGACTGCAAGGAGCAAGAAGCTAGCGATTCCATGAGGGCCAAGAGGGTATCTGGCATCGCCCCGCCAAGGTCGTGACCGAGCGCAGTGGCGAGCCTAGGAGCAAGTTGCGAATAAAATGAGGAGCAAGAAAGAGCTACTGCTCAGTGAGCCCAGAACGCCGACTCGTCATCGTTCTCGTCGACCAGATCGGCCGCATGCACTTCAGCGGGCCGACTGCCGGCGTCGGAAATATCGACCGAGTCGAGTGCACGCATGTGCTGTCGCGGTCGGCCGCCCTGCTGCCCGTTATACGACTGAGCTGCTTGCTCGTACAGCGGTCGCTGATGCGATCCCGTCGAGGGATGGATGGTATCGTACTGAGGCGGAAGCTCCATCACTCGTCCCTCGCGCAGGTTGATCAGCTCGTCGCCATTGTCGTTGTCGTCCAGCAGAAGACCGGCGTCGGAATGGCGCACGATGCGCGTCGACTGTTCCGAGACCGCCAGCCTGCCATCGCGCTGCTCGCCGGAAAGATCAGCCCATCCCTGCGTCCGTGCGCCAGCGACATTGCGTACCGAGTTCATGCGAGTGGTGTTGCTGGCCAGCAAATCATGGTAGGCAGCTTGCGAAGCAGCGTCCGGGCGGTACGTGGGCCCGGCACCGACGCGCGTCGACTTGGACGACGTCCCGTCCGTGCTTGTGGAACGCGAGACCGACGGTGGACTGCCAGTCCGGCTGTGCAGATGATTCGGCGTCTGCGGGTCGTCCGAATAGAAGCCAAAGGTGCGTGGGACAGAGTCGGTGGGAGACCATGCGTCACGTGAGCTATTGGAGAGCGTGCCAGACGTGGGCGAGCGTGCATGATGGCCGCCACGCGAATATGCATGTGCGTCGGCGGCATAACTTCCAGCGTCCATGAGTGCATAGTCGCCAGTGTGTCCGGGCTGGTGAGCACCAGTCTGCGGTGCTCCTGTGGCGATCTGCAAGTGATCAAAGGCGCTCGATGTCCAACTTCGTAAAGACGCACGTGTCGAGGGCGCGTGCCCGAGAGGCCGCGACGACAGGGAGACCGGGTCGTAATTGCTCACTCCGGACAGGCTGGCTCGATCCGCGGCGTTACGCGTGTTGGTACTGGCCTGTCGAGTGACGGAGCGGCCAAAGACGCCGGGAGCGATGGGCATGTTGGGATCGGCATTGAAGGGGACCGAAGGATCGGAGTTCGGTAGGTCCCAGGCCTTGATGTTGTGCTTTCGCTTCTGACGTCGGCGGTAGCAGAACCAACCGAGCGCGACGCCCATCAAGCCAAAGGTGACAAACACGACGATCATGGCGATGAGGAATCCGATCGAAGATAACCCGCCGCCTCCTTTGCCGTGGACGGTGCGACCGTTCTTGATGGTCTCGATGACGGTCACGGTGGCGACGATGCCGCCGCTGGTGGTGAGTGAGGCGAGCGTCGAGGTGGCGTCAGGGAAGATCGAGGCGGGAGGAGCGGTGGAGGCAGGAGCAAAGACGCGGTGCTGATAGTTGGCTTGCGCGATGCATGCGTCGGTGTAGTACTCGTTAAGAGCTACGATGTTGAGCTTGGAGACGCCACCGCTACCGCCAACGGCTCGGCTGTCGCCCAGGGTCATGACGAACCGGGTGCCGCCCTGCATGGCCACCTCCCAGGACATGTTTGAACTGGTCAGACTGGGCGCAGGCACGTAGATTGGCGGTGCCAATTCAGGGAGGAAGACGGCGGTGACCGGGGGAGCGTAGCTGCCGTTCCAGAAGATGCTATAGTCTTGGCACATGGACGCGGCACCTTGGGTATAGAAGAAGAAGGAGCCGGGGTAGTCCAAGGGCGCGCAGGATGCACCGGTCGCGGCGCTGCTGACCTGGACGAATGCGGAAGAGTTTGCCATGAGACCGGACGAGTCTGTGACGGTGACGATGAGCGAAGGGTTCTTGGTGGGGCCGGTGAAGGAGGGGACGGGGTACTGGTAGAGCCATAGGTCCTTGGAAGCGTCGTCGTAGGTGGCAGGCAGGCTGACGGTGACAGGCCAGTAGTCTTCGATGCTGATCATGACCGTGTAGGGCGGGGTGCCTCTGCTGGGATCAAAGGTGATGTTCATGAAGTCGCACTCGACTGGCTGTGCCACCTGGACGTCGACGTTGTGATTCGGTGGCGCGGAGGAGGACGATGCCTCGGCCGCCAGCTGCTGGTAAACTCGATTTGCGCCGGTCGATGTTGGAATGGGCGTCGGTGCAGCTGGACTTGGCTGGGTGTGGATTGCTTTGGGAGTGGGGAGCGCAGGTGACGGTGTCATAGACGGGATGGCAGAGCTGGCGACGGTCGCTCCGATGAGGGCGCATAGCGAGAGGAAGAGCAGCAAGAAGCCACTGCTGTTATGGGCGTGTAGACGATGGCGCCTTGTGCGGCGCGACGAAGGCTGAGCGACAGGCATCATGGTGGGAGCTTCGTGTTGAGGATCGCTCGCGTCAGGAAGGAGCATCGGTTGCAGGTATGGCGAAGCTGCGCGACGACGCGGACGGGTGGGCTGAGCAGGAGCTGACAAGGGCCGAGCGATGTTGGGTTGCAGTGAGGAGACCGAGGTGGCGAGAGAAATGTGAGAGCCGCCGGGCGACTGGAAGCGGCTCGAGCTTGCGGCGTGGGTACCGCAGCCGCAGCGACAGAGGCGATCAGCCATGCCTGACGCGAAGAGCAGTCAAAGGACGAAGGTGCAAGAGCTGGCTAGCAGCGTACAGTGATGGTAGCAATCACAGAAAAGACATGTGCGTGAAGTCCGGGTCCGATGCGAGACAGCAGCCTAGATTCCTGGGCGATAGGCAAGAGTTTGTGGGTGGCCGATGTGAATAGTTGAATCGGCAGATGAGGAGCGTCCCTAGATGCTCGTGGCTCGGGCGTGCGCTTCCAAAGAGGCGATGAAACGAAGGACAATGGTGCGAGCTGCCTTCGTGCGAGCCGAAGATGTTGGGTCGATAAGGCTATCAGGGGCGAAATGGACAATGATCGAAGGGCCTCAAGGAAGGAACGTTACAAGTCAAGGTGATGAGGGGGAGGGGGATGGAGGACCAAGGACCGAGATGAGGAAGAGGCGAGGGACGAAGGAGCGTAGTGGCTCAGGGGCAGTAAGGCAAGGTGAGGCGCAGTCGAGGCGAAGCGAGGCGAGAGCGGCACCCGAGGGCATGGTCGTGCACGACAGAAGGGTGCATGAGCGAGAGAGGAGGAGGAAAGAGACTTTGGGGCAGTGAAGCGCGTCGTCGCCGTCGTGGATTCGCCGCTCGGAGGATGTGCAGCCGTTGCGCTGCGGTGCGGCTAGTCTGACTGCGAAAAAGATCAAAACCACAAAAAACGAGCGGCGAGAGGCGGCAGGGCGGCACGCGCAGCCTGCAGCCTGCAGCGGGGCTTTCGACTGCTGCTGTTCCCCTTCCTCCCCGGTTCGGCGTGCAGATCAGAGGGACCGACGACGGTGATGTGACGCTGCGGCCATCATGGACATGCATCAACATCCTGAAGACTGGCACACTGGCGAACGGAAGCGTCGATGCTGCTTTCTGAACAGATGCCAAGGGGAAAACGGCGGATTTGGCAACTCCGAACGCGGATCGACCGATGTGCACTGGATCTGCTCGGCGGCTTTCTGGAAGCCAAAGCAGCTGCGATTCTTTTCTTTGTCCCTCTTGGATCCCTGGCAGAGTCTCAGCCGGTGAGGGCGATTTGAAACGACGCCCTGAGCTTCCTCGTCTGTCGAAAATTCAACACGAGCAGAGGCAGCGCATTGATGTCTTTGCGCTTCGGATGATGCATTGCAAGTGTGCAGCTCGCTTAGCCTCGAGGTGCAGACCCGGTTCGCCAGCAAGACTCGACGCCTGCCTCAACCCCCAGCCATGCCCCGGTCAACTGCGAAGCGACCTTAGTTTGCTGCAAATCACCAACCGAACTTCAGTCGGTGCGAGGAACCCCATCCAACCGCAAGTCGCATCGAGCTTTCCGCTGAAAAGTCTTGGAGTGCTCGCCAACCACCACCTCGGATGGATGCCACGATGCATCTAACGTGATGTGATGGAAAGGAGTCAAAGTATTGTCCTCCTGAGCCTCTATTGTCCATGCGCAGCCGAACGCCGAGCCATGCCGTGAGAGTACGGCCATTTTGCTCTCTTTGCGCTGGAGACCCTTCCGATCCCGACACTGAGCGCTAACTTAATTTACCCCGATTCCTTCCACAAGTCGGCTTCTCCGCGGCCAGCACGGAACCACTACCGCCTCAACCTACTTATTCTCTCGACTCAACATTCAGCATCCAAACCACTTCGACGTCGGATCGATCCGACTTTCCCGCATCACGCCGATAGGCAAGCTGAACAACAAAGGCAGAGTGAATTGCGTATGCGAAAGGATACAAAGGGGTTTCCATTAAAACAAGTGTGCGAAGTGAAAGAAAGTGGAGAAATGCGCCCGTTGCTACTGTCAAGAAGAGACCATTACCAAACGAACGACGGCTGGCCCAACGCATCCTTACAAGATGCCACTGTCCTTGAGCGCATTCGTGAGGATGGTCTCCTTGACCGCTGCAAACACCAGTCGGATGTTGCTCGTGTCGGTGGCCTGCGTGAGATGCGGATAGATGCTGAGCCGCGCGCGGTTCGTCTGCGTGAAGCGCCAGAGAATGTACTTGGCCGCCTTGTTGATGTCCGGTCCGCCACTGTATTCGGGAAAGTACTTGGAGAGCGGCTGCTTGGGGATCTTTTGCTTGAAAATGTCAATCTTGTTGAGAAAGAGGATGATCGAGGTGCGCAGGAACCATCGGCTGTTGACCACCGACTCGAAGAGCACCAGCGACTCGGCCATGCGGTTCTGCCCGCTCTCCTCCAGCAGCACCTGGTCGTACTCGCTCAGCGCCACGCAAAAGATGATCGACGTCACCGCCTCAAAGCAGTGGATCCACTTTTTGCGCTCCGACCGTTGGCCGCCCACGTCAAAGAGGTGTATTGAGAGCTGGCCCATGTTGAAGCGCGTCTCGCTGATGCCCGTCGTCTTGGAACGCGCACGCAGCACGTCGTTCTCGTCCGGCACATAGTCCGGCTGGCCAATGCGGTTGACATTGTCGAAAAAGTAGGCGGCGCTGTCCATCAGGTAGAATTCGCTGCCGCGTTCCATCACCGCAGGGATGATGGGGTCCTTCCAGAGCGAGTCCACCTTGCGCGCCATGGCATGGTCGAGCGTCGCGCCCGGATCCGCATCCACGCGATACTGCAGGATCGCATCGACGTTTTCGCGATTCTCGGGCATCTCGGGTTCCATCTTGAACTTTCGCAGCGCCAGCACGATGGCTTGCGCCGAGTCGACCAGGTTCTTGATCACGGTGAGTCGATAGAGCAGCAGCTCGTCTTTGGTGTAGCCATTCTGGTGAATGATCTTCATCTGCTTGACGATCGTCGACTTGCCCGACTCGCCCGAGCCGAGGAGGAGGATCTTGCATTCCTTCTTGAACTTGCGGCTGTCCTCTTCGATCTGCTTGTCGATGGCCACGCTGCGGTCCTTGGCCTCCTTCTGGTCGGTGGATGAGAGGCAGTTGCCCATCTTGGCGAGTGCCGGCTTCGATCGGCCCTACGATTGCGAAGCGTCAGGGACGGGTGGAGGCGGCACGGATGCGCCCGACAGGGATGGCAGCCACAAACGAGGCTCGTCGTGTTGCTGCGGTGTAGTGGGCCACTGCACGGATGGGAAGGCGCAGTCGGATGGCAGGTGCTCCAGTGTGGATCATGTACGAGCGTGGACTCTAGACCGAAGCCGGCGTGTGTGGGTGCACTGGCGGCGACGGCTGCCTTGGACGTGGAAAGGTGTTGCGCACTCTAGCACGAGGTGAAGGCGACGAGCAGAGATCTGAGCCGAGATTATACAGCCCGGACGTCCGGAGAGAGGCCGAGCGTCAGCGAACGACGGATGGCGGTGCGCTTCGGAGGTGCCCAGGGGCGGTCGAGACCGCTGCCAAGCTTGGCGGATGCAAATTGCGGTGGTGGTGGGATTGCGCGCAGCGGCTTCGTCGTGCCGGAACGTGTGCCGAGGCCGCTGGGACTGCACGCTGGTGCGTCGTCAGAGCCGATGTCGCCCGAGTGGTAGATCGGAGCGCAGCAGTCGAGCCGTGTCGGGAGTGCCGATGGATCCAGGTGCTTGCGGAACTGAGGGCAGCTTAGCTTGACGGGAGCAGCACCGTGGAAGAGGAGGTATAGGTGCAAGTGTTGTTGCGGTGAGATTCGCCGAAGGTTGCGAGGAATGGTGTAGCGCCCGGGAAGGTGTTGTCGTTTGGGTGGTTAGCAGTACACGCGATGAGGCGAACGACGAGGGTGGTGCCGACGATGTGTGGTTCCGAGGTGCACGACGCGAGAGACAGAGAAAGACAGGGAGAGAGACAGAGAGAGAGATAGAGAGAAGGAAAGAGACCAAGAGGCAGAAGGAGGGAGTGACCAACGACGAGGAGGAACGAAGCGAACGAATGTAGACAGTGGGCAGCGGTTGAAGGGCTTGACGGGGCTTGGCTTGGGCTGGATTGAGCCGGCGTCTAGTGGAAGTGCTTAAGATGTTTTCGGCGATCGCAATGCACGAGGGCGAGCGGCCAAAGACAGGAGGAGCAGCGGATGGGCGGCCGAGGCAGCGACAGAGGCAGAGGCAGAGGACAGGCCTGGCACGTTGAAGTGCTGTTTCGGATCTGGGCAAGAGAGGGCGGGCAGGTGCGGGCAGGTTGGCAGGCAGGCAGGAGGATGCGTCTGTGCAGGGGGTCTGCGTGTGTGCGTTTGTGTGTGTGTGTGCGAGAGAGAAAGGGAGATGGCGCGGCTGTGGAGAATGAAATGCGGGTTGGAGAAAGTCGAGAGGAGCTGCAGAGCGCAGTTGCGACTTGCAGTGCAGTGCAGAGCACTGCAGTGGAGCTGCAGGATTGCAAACGACTGGCAGATCCTCCAGCAGGCTGCCGGGCTTGCTGCTTGGCTCGCTGGCCGCGCCGCCGTAAGCGAGACTGAGTTGGGCCTCGAAATCGAAATGAGCGGATGGTTCGTGCAGAGATGGAGCAAGGGCTCGCCCACCGAGACAGCGCGTCTGTCTGCTGTCTGCCTTCTGCTGACTTTCGGGAGCAGAAGAGCCGTAGCTTCGCGGAAAAAGAAAAACCAAAACCAAAAAATATCCCCCATCGCTTTTGGCGTGCTCCGGCTTGGGTCGAAGCTGAATCGACATGGCCTTTGCTGACCCTGAATTGACTGAATTGAATAGCCGCCGCACATAACCTCCGCTCTGCCCCTGCACTCTCGGATTCGGGCCTCGCCTGGCGCACATTAATCGGCGTGGTGTCCATCATCATCTCGCCTTCCCCCCACCCACCTGCCAAAGTGGAATGAAGTAGGATACGGTAGCATGGATGGTGCTGGCGCCATCGTCATCCAATGACAGCATCCGATGGCGCGATCGCAAGGCTCGTGTGGGGCAATATGATACAATGCAGTAAAATCGCACATCCATGCGTTCAATGCTAGCTCGACTGCAAAGAAACCACCGTACGTGCACTATCCATCGGCTCATTGTGTTGAGCTCCGTGCCCAATCACCGCCAAGATGCGGTGTCCGAGCGTCAGCTGGGTCGATGGCATACTGTACGATATGCTTCATTTCTTCGCACATCCGTGCCAAGCGCCTTCATTGATGGGAATCCGTTCAAGGTTGCGAGCTCAGACTACTGCCATCAGATCCCGGTTCATGAGATTGCCGCGTTGCAGTGCCAACGTGACTAGCCCGTCTACAACCGCCTTGTTCATCGTGATGCAGCGCCAAGCAAGATCCTGCTCCTCGTTTCCGGATGGCGCTCAAGGTGGACAGCTTTCACCCCCCACGCTTTCTCCTTCTTTTCTTCTGTCGCCTGCCCATTGGCGCAAGTCGAGATGATCTGCGGCCTTATCGCACCGCCGCCTCTCTTCTCGCCGCTCGCCCACCTTGACTGCGTAAGCTTCATCGCCCGGGGTCAGCCCGCCTATCTATACTGTATGAAGCTCGGTCAACCATCACATGAGACTTTGGGCGTCTTTGCTTTCTCAAACGTCCTATCAAACCGAAGCGAGGCTCGACTCTGCGCAATGAAAAACGTAGCGGCGCCTCTCAGCCCTGCCTCGCATGATCCTTGTCGAGAAAGCGGCGCTCCTGTGAAGCCTGGTTCCAGGTGATGAAGCGAGGGCGGCGCTGCAGGGCGTCCATCGTTAGCGCGGTGCGGCTTTTGCTCGTGCTTTTCCTGCGGCCTGTAGGCGAGTCGAGGGGCGGGCGCCACTGGGCAAACAGGCGAACGCGCGAGAATGCATGTCGCAGACACCTCCAGCCGAATTGCATGTGCAGATCCGAGACCGATCCGCTCCTCCGTACCTTGGGTCTCCTCCCTCTCTGCACACGCACACGCACACATCTCGGCTCCGCTCGGGAGCGTTCGACTGTGCTACATGCGCTGCTGCACTTGCAATCACCGGCAAGCTTGGCTGCTACCAAACAATCGCAGACCCATGCACCACTCCAAGCGAGCCAGGGTCAACTAGCGACCGCGTCTCAGCTCGGTCGGAAGCGAGCCCTTGCCATGCCTCCCCCGCGGACTCGAACACTAATTGATCAGACAGTGCACCTTCTTCCCGGCTGCCTGCTTTTCGGGGACACATTTGACCGATGACAAGCTGCTTCCTGTGGGGAGCGGGCTCTGTGTTCGACATCGGATGGGCGAATGAGCGGATGGAGACTGCGAAGTCGATGCCGAGGCACGCACATTTACCCCCAATCCCAAGAGGAGGGGTTCAAGGGGGTGCGAATCAGGAACGCTTCGGCTTCTACAACCTGGTCGACAACAGCAAGGGGCATGGGCATCGTTCCTGGTTCCTGTCCCAGCTTTCCAAATGTTGAACGCGACTGCACCACGAGCAGTGCAAGCATCGTACTGTAGGGCTCCGACCATTGCTCTGGGTGCATCTGCCCTGGGACCAAACGGCGAGGAAGCGCAGGTCGTGCACTGGGGCGGAGCACGAATTCACGCGGAGTTGCAAATAATCCGACACGCGAATGACCGAGCTGACACCTGCCTGACACACGACGGGGCTGCCGCGATTCGAGTCGGCCCGGAAAGCTTTGCATTCTGGTCACCTTTCGTTGCGAACCTAGCTAAGGGTACAGCTTGACGATGGCAAGCGGCACATGCTCGTACAAGTCCATCCATTGACAAAGTCTGAGCGTGTCATCCATACCACGCATGAGATGGATGTTGATTAGCCATCCGAAATCGCACCAAGGGTCACACGCCTTGCCGTCTCAACTCCGCTTCGCCGAGAGCAACCCCTGCATCCTCGCTCGCCGACCGATTGTTTGTTACCTTCGTGCCCGACAGATGACTGTGACCAGAGCCTGGAACCTCCACCCTTGCGTGTGTCCAGACTCACCCATAGCGGCTGCTCCATCTTCCAACTTTGGTGCAGGATGCATTCGGACTTTCCTCGTAGCTACCGCCGTGTCCGTTCATTGATCATTGCACTTGCTCGAGGCGCGCTAGTCTTGTGCATCAGCGTCCGTCTCGACGAGCTGATATATGGTGACCAGACCCATCTTCCTGCGTCTCTGTGTCTCTTTGAGCCTGTCCAGCACCAACAGGGCTGCCGGTGCCGGGAGCGAGCCGAGCAGGTCCGCATGGTGCAACGTGTTTGCGGCAGCACTCTGCTCGTCGTCCGAGCCTGCAGCGTCGGCACCGCCGCCATCGCCATGCCCTGTACGCCGTGCCCCGGGCGTCGAAGCACCACTCCCACTGTAAAACCTCGTCTGCGCCTTTTGACGTGCGACCAGTGCATCCCTAGCCAGCGGTGTCGCCACGCCACTCTTGGCATCCGCGTCGGCGACACTGTCAAAGATGTTGAAAAAGTCCTTCTTGCGCAGCAGTCGGCGTGCAAAGAAGTCGGTGCTCATCAGCTGAACCACATCCGAATCGCGCACCGAGTAGCCCGTCGTCACGCCCTCGCTTGCCGTTCGCGAGTAGTACGCAAGCGACGACATGGCGTTCGACAGCGCCGTGTACGAGCGCAAGAAGCGCGATTCCTCCTCTCCCTCGTCCGCTCCTTTGCGTCCTCGAGCTCCGTCGCTGTCCCCTTCTTGCGTTCCGGCAGTGCTCGGCCGCGAGGCGCCTTTGGATTGCGACCGCTTCATCGCCGCTTTCGACTTGCTCCGTGCACCGGCAGTCATGTCCGTGGGCGCCCGCGAGGCCGAGCGAGAGCCTTGACGCGACACCTGGCGTGACGAGTCGCGCGATTGCGGATACTGATTGAGCGAGCCGCCAAACACCACCAGCTCGTTGTTGGGCCCAAAACTCGCGCCCATCCTCCTGGCTGGCATCTTGAGCTTGATGATCTCCGCGCCAGATCCGATCGCGGTGCGCGCCGGACGGAACGCAAGTATACCGGTATCCGAGTCCGTGTCGGAGGCTGCCGATCCCTCGGCCCTGCTCGTCGTGGGGTCGGCCTTGGCGTCGTCCTCCTCGTTCTCGCCCCGTCCAGCCCGATCCGTTCCGTCGAGCGACTTGATGGGCTCTCCTGTCAAGAAGCGAGCGCACACCTCCAAGCACGGTGTGCCTGCACGCGCCGCTCTGCTCGACAATCGTGTGAGGCCGCGCAGCAGGTAGGAGCGCGTCTTGAGGCTGAGATTGGCGCTTTTTTCCAGGTCGAATTGCGGAGCGCGGTGCGGATAGCTGGCCGGAAACTTGATCCGCATGCGCAGAAACGCTGGCTCGTGATCCGCCCAAGGCCCATACATGGTGAGCACACACATGCGTTTGTTTAGCTCCACCTTCTCGAAGACGATCCGTGGCAGCTTGCGGTTGATGCCGATGATCTCGTCACCAAGACCTTGCACCGTGAATCCGGGTTCGCCATCCGTGTCGTCCTCGGTAGACGGTCCTTCCCGGCCGAACCCGACCGCACTTCGCACAGCTTTGCCAGCGGCAAGTCCCGACGCGACATGTCCGTCGTAGCGTTGCTTTTTGCCATCGTCGTCGCCCGCATGATCCTCCGAAGCATTCCGGTCCAAATCCGTCTCGTCATTTTCGAGCCGCACGTTGGCAATCCACTCGATCGGATCCACTGCAGGAGCTGCGGTACGGCCCCTGTCGAGGCGCATCGCTGCGCCGACCGCCTTCTTTGTGGCGTTCGGGTCCATTGCTTTGGCCAGCCTGCGTCGCTCCTCTTTGCGAGCCGCCTTATCGCCCTTCTGTGTGCTGTCCCCGTGCCTGCGGGATTTCTTGCCCGCTCCATGCTGCTCCTCTTGTATTGGCAACGGTCGACCCGAAGACCTGCCAGGATTCGGAGGTCTCTGCTTTGACGCCGAGGCCGAGTTGGAAGCGGTTTTGCTACGCAGACTGGCCGGAACTTTGAATGAAGATTGCCCTCCGCTGTGTTGGGAAGCGCTGCCTCCTCCGTGTCTGGAGCTTTGATATGACGCTCCGAAACGGCCACCTCCCCCTTCGCCAGCATGCTTCGGCAGCGATCGTGCGAGCTGATGCATCTGCGTAGCTTGCGCTCGAGCAGATCCGCCCGTAAATGCCTGCTGAGCATCCAAACGACCCCATGAGCGGCCAAACGTGTCGTTCGGGCTGCGGGAGAATTGATTCAGATCGGTAGACAGATCGCCGTGGCTCGAGCTGTGGTGCAGGCTCCTCCTTCGCGCCGCTCCAACACTGGTAGCGAACGGCGCGAGCGGGCTTGTCCTGCCATCGCGAACGATATTCTGAAAGCCAGACATGGACGAGCTGTAGGGCGAAGTCGCCTGAATCTTGCTGCCACTGCCCTTGCCGCTGAGCAGAGCACGTGTGGCATGCTCTGGCGGCAGAATGGACGAGCTGGTGATGTTGCTGCCCGACGCCTGGCTGGCAACCATTGCAGCGTCTTCGCCGCCAACGGGGAGCGCCAGAGGCGGGTCGCGGTACGAGACGTCCGGAGCATTCGCCCTCGTGAGCAGTACTCGGATGGGGTTGCCCGGCTTGTGACCCACTTTGCGCGTCTGCTCGTCGCTCACGGGCCAGAGTCGCAAGGTCTGATCCTTGGACCACGTGATGAGCTGGAATTGGCGATCGTCGCTTTCCCGGTCTTGGCCTCCCTTGGCACGGAAGAGGTACTCCTTGACGATATCAGTGTGACCGGCGAAGGTTGCTTTGGGCTCCTCGGCGTCGTCCTTCGCCCACATGCTGAGCGTGGTGTCGCCGCGCTGCGGCAGCGTCATGACACCGTTGCCAAAGGGTAGGTGGCGCGCACGCCACACGGGTGTCTTTGTTTCGATGATCGATTCGGCCTCGGTGACCAGCTCCCTCGCGCCGATGGCGGCCTGCGATGTATCCGAAGCCAGGTTCCAGAACTTGACAGTTCGGTCGAGGGAACAGGTGACGAGCCTGTCGAGGCCGAGACTTGTATCTCGGCTCCAATCTATGCCGTAGATCTTGCTCTCGTGCGCTTCGATGGTGGCGAGAGGAAGCGAACCCTTGCGATCGTCCCAAATGAGCACCTTGTTGTCGCATGTGGAAGCAAGACGATGCTCGCTGGCACGGTTGAACTTGACCTGAGTTGCTGCGGCATTCCAGGCCGAGTATCCCTGCGCAGGCTTTTGACGACCGCCTGCATCTGACCCCCCACTCATACGGAGATCCCAGACCCAGGTCCAGGTATCGATGGAACTGGAAGCCACGATCTCTGGGTGGAAAGGCGACCAATTGATATCGGTGATGGCTCGAGTGTGTGCGTGCAGGACATGCTCGATGGCTGAAGATCTCGAACTTGCCAGCTGCAGCTGCGAGGGTACTGAGAAAGGTGTTTCGCCATAGGGTGAGCTGGTTGGGATGGCACCAAAACCACTGCGGGTGCCGCCAGTCACTCCGGAATGGAGGCTGTGGCTGTTGTATACGCTCTGGTAGGCGCTGCTGCGTTGGGTGGAGAAATGCGCGTTAGATGGCATGACGGGACTGGAGCTGCTGTGGATGGAGCCGCGATGAAGGAGCCTTGTCAGCGGCGCTGCCGCGCGCGGATCGCCGGGCCTGTCGAGATTCCAGATGAGGAGCTTCTGGTTGGAGGTGCTAGCGACCCAATTACTCCTGGCGGGATGCGGAGACCACTGGATGTCGACGGCTTCCCAAGTAGTCATGTGTGCCAGGAAGCGAGGAGGAGCGAAAGGATCCTCGAGGTCGATGATGAAGAGACCTTTGCGCGCAGCCAGAACCACGTCGCGGTTTGCCGGGCTGATGGACATGGAACCGACGGGCTCCATGAACGAGATCTCGCAGGAGCGGTAGAACGTGTTGGAAGCATGACGTTGGGCTAGAATCTGCTTTGCTGGCCTGGCCTGCGTGGAAGGGATGGGTATGGGGGCGGCAGGCCCATTGGACCCATCGATGGACCCCGTGACAGCCAGTTGTGCATCGAGACCATCTTGCCCCGCTGGAGGAATGTCGATGATGGACGAAGTGACGCCGGCTGAAATCTCGGTGGATTGGAGCACAGGGCTGCCGTTCTTGACGGACATCGTGGTCGCCAGGTGGCGGTCCACCTGGAGCGAAAGACGCGGGAGGATGCCTGTGATTGAGGTGGATGGTCGTACCAAGTCACGAACGTTTGTTCAGCAACGACGTCACGTTCCGATCATTACGACCGCCGAGCTTGGACAGACGCCTCGGAGGGCATGTTCGAGTAGGTGTGAGCGTATATCGAAGAGGAAGACGAAGAAGAAGCAGCGGTAGCAGCAGTCGGGGTAGTTGTGGAGGATAGCGGTTGGAGTGTGCATGCAAGGCGGGCCCTGTGACACTCGGTGCAAGCGCACCACCACGTCACTTGCCCGATGATCGGGCGATAACCGCCGCGACATGTTTTACCCGACTGCCGAATTGGGCGCAAAATTTGGGTGCAACAAGGGGGGAAAAAAAAAGTTGCTGGGAGCGGAGTGTCCTTCTCTTCTCCGCACTTGTCTTTTGGTTGGGAAGAAGTATAGACGCACCGGGTTCGCTCCCGTCTACATTGATTCCGCTCAGGTCGCTCAGCCCCAGACCGCACATTCTCGACCACCATGGGACTTTCAGGCCCCAAACAGAAGCAGCGGCTGGTGGGTTCCGCCAGCACGCGCAACACCGCCTGGCTCAACGATGCAGCGGCGCCCGGCCAACGCATGCTGGCGCAGATGGGCTGGTCTGCAGGACAGAGCCTTGGTCTCACCATGCCCGGTCTCACCGAAAACCTCAAGGTCGCGTACAAGATGGACAACAAGGGCATCGGAGCGCAGCGACACGAGCGAGAGGCGAGAGCCAATGGCAAAGACATCTGGGTCGGTGGTGGTGGCGACCTCGGCAGCCTGTTTGAGCGCCTCAACGCCGCCAACGCTGCCTCCGCTTCGACCTCGGCAGCTGCATCTTCTTCGTCGAGCGAGGTCGAGAGCGATGTCGACAAGAGGTCCAAGAAGAGCAAGAAGGACTCGAAAGTGAAGTCGGACAAGAAGGAAAAGAAGGCTAAAAAGGAGCGAAAGGACGAAGCGAGCAACGACAAGTCCAAGAAGAAACGTAAGCGAGACGCAGACGCAACATCCTCCGACGACAAGCGCAAGAAGGATAAGAAGGACAAGAAAGACAAGGGGGAAAAGGCATCCGATTCGAAGAAGAGCAAGCGATCCTCAAAAGAGGCCAAGGAGGAAGCTGCTGCAGTAGTCGCCGAGATCACGCCGGAAGCGGTAGCCGTGCGACCGGTTAGGTTAGCGCACCGCGCCAAGTTCCTGCGCGCCAAGCGCATGGTGTCCGCCTCGGACCTCGCGAGCGTCAATGAGATTCTGGGCATCGCCTCGACTCCATCCTCTTCCGCAGCAGGTACACCAGGCACTACCACGCCGACATCAGCAACTCCCAAGACGTACCCAGGTCCTAGCGGAAGCGAGATTGTCTTGATCGACGTCGACCGCCGCCTCGAGGCGGAGAAGGACGCGCAATCCGAGTCTGAATCTTCATCAGACGAGGAAGACGTCAAGCAAAAGAAGAAGAAGAGCAAGAAGGATAAGAAGGATAAAAAGGACAAGGATGAAAAGAAGAAGTCCAAGGAGCGCAAGGCAGGCGCTGCTGTCGAAGAGGAGCCTGCGTCCGCAAGCCAAGGAGGCGCGGAAGCTGCTGCTGCTGAGGCGGCAGCGGCAGAAGAGAAGGAAAAGTCGACGCAGATTGGCACCAACTCGCAAGGGCTGTTCGTATTCGAGTACCTCAATCGCCGTCTGATGATCCGCAAGGCGCAGATTGCCAAGCAGAAAAAGGCCGAGCAGGAGGCCATCTTTGCGCGCGCCGCTCGCGTTGGCGCCTAGCCTCGTGCAATCGACGCACCTCAAGTCATGTACTTTATACCCTCGTCTCTGCATAACTTTGTCTGCACACCGTTATCAATGGCTGTGTGTGATGTCTCCGGATGTGTGCGGGCTCGATGAAAGCGGGTGCTCTGAACATTCAACGGGAATATAGGTCCCCTTCACCGAGCCAGTTTAGCAGCTTTATATCATGGCCCAAAAAGAGGTCAGCCACTCACTTAAGTGTCCTTAGCCTTGCTATTGACGCCATTTGTTGCCTTCTGGCAATGACGGCCAGGCTAGCTCTGTTGAGCGACGCTTCGATGGGAACGCACAAGTTTTGCATTTCCAGACTGAAGGGAGGGGGGA